TGATCAGGCCCATGGTCCTAAAAGCCGCCCTAGTGACAACTGCCATAGATTCGTCACACGTTTCGAAGACCTGAAGGCTTCCTGTGACGTCTGCTGGAAGTCCCTGGACCGTGATTCTGACGGGGCCATGGTGTGCCGAAAAAGTTGCGGATTCTAAGACATCCAGGGGCTCGAATTGTCTGGGAACTTAGAGACAGTGATGTGGGTCGTGGCAATGTGCTGATGATTGTCATTGAAGTTACTTTGGGCGGTGGGGTGGTAGGGGCACGACGATTTTCGAAGGAGGCCCGCGGGACGGTTGGAGAAAGTCCAGGGACTGCGCACGGCATGACCACGAGACCGCTGCGAGCGATTAAGGTCGCCTGAGCCGCGGAGTATTTTTGTCTCTGGATTTCGCTCTTTGCTGAAAAGGTGTGTTGAGCTTGTACACCTCTGACGTGCCTGGGTAAAACATTGTTGAAAGCGGATATTTTTAACGCATCGATGGCTATTCAAGTGAGACGAGCGCCACTGCACATATAGGGGCGGCTATAGCCCCCTGGGCTGAGGTGTATCTTAAGCCTGCTATTTGCGAGTTACGACACTCTCTCATTAGTTTTAGGGGCCATCAGCTGACTTTTAAACATCTTAAGTAGAATGGCAAAGTAAGCATGCCATGATATGACACCGCTACAAAGGCTTCTACGTGGATCACAACCGGAGCCAGGACAAGACTGCGGTAATGGGACTGGCGTCTAAGCACTGCGACACAAAAGGCGGAATGCATTTGGCTGGGCCCACCTGGCCCATTTCTTGGACACCTACTAGGGGGCTGACGCGTTGGGTGTAGGGGTCCTCGTAGACTGTCACCATATACGTTTTACGCACTCACACTGAAGTTGAGAAAACATGCTCTACACGTATTGACAAGCAGCATATGAAGACTTTTGTTTAGACCCAGTTCGTGTATATTTTTTCAGGTCAAGTGCAACATCGCAGTGTTTTTATCAAACGAAAAACACGATAAAGCAATCAGGCTGAAATGTTGCTTTAAGCGCGGCCGATATCAAAGGATGGGTAAACGGTCACGGATGGGTAAACTGATAGCATGTGTGAACACTGGCAGCATACCCGGGTATGTTTGTATGGAGTGGCCGCTGCTCCCGTGCGGAGGAGAGCCTCGAGCCTGGGCGGAGGGACGGCCCAAAGCCGGGTGAAGAGGCACCTCTGAAACTTTGAGCTCAAGAGGCAGGTGCTGAAGAGAAATGAAACTGCTAAACCCTCAAATGGAGGCGGAGGGATTCTCCGGGCTGGAGGCTGTGTATTTGAGGTAGCAGAGTAGATATTACGGCAAATAGCTGGGAGCCTTAACGTCTACAAGCCTCGCTTGCCGAATAATTGCTGCTCCCAAAGGTGCAATATGACGCCACATTATTGCATCGTTGCTAGCGGCATCAAAATTGCAGCTTTAATTGGACTCAGTGGCTGTAAACCGCAGGCCCTTTATCGTGTTCAGACGTACCACTACTCTTATCAAAGTCCCCGCCGGCGACAGATGAAACCTCATGGGACTAAGCATCAAGAAACATCAAGAAATGGACCAGCCCAAAGAGGGAGCTTTCGGGCTAATTTGGAGGTGGTGGTGTCTTTTTTGGGACAAAAGGTTCCAGTACTTCTTGACAGTTTACAACACCCGTAGGACTTCCGAAACACAAAAACGTGCTTTCGAGACATCAAAATGGAATCCTAAGCCTGAAAAGGTCCCCGAAAGTCGAATCCCGAAGCAGAGCCTCAGATGACGAGGTGTGGCTACTGTGGCTGAAGGGCCGGTATCCCCTCATCTGGATTTCGATTATTATGAACATGTTCTGGTTTTTTCCTGGATCGGATCGGATGGCATTGTATATTTGTAAAAAAGGGTGGATGGCGGGCAGACTGGATTTCAAAGCGGGGCAGTACATTAAAATATTTGCTGGACGTCCGGTCCGTGAACGAAAGCGTAATGATTGACTATTGGGGCAAATATCTCGTGCTGAAAGCATACCTTTAAACTCAGAAATGAGATCATACCTAGTGTGTTGTACTGAGACGTTTCTATTACAGCTTATTCTTAACGATCAAGAGATATCACATCGGTAGTGACGGTGACCAGATCGTCAAAACGGTGCCAAGCTCGCGCTTCTGCAGCGATGATGCCATGACCACGCCGAATCTCTGGATAGTTGGATTTAGTTTCCGCTTGCATTTGTTATCACTCGCTCAGCGAAAGTGGAGTGTCAAGCCAAACTTTGAAAAAGTTGCGCTAAATTACAAATTGTCAGCGCATCGTTCCTTTTTAAAAGCGAAATTATCTCCGCCGCCACATAACAAAGACCAGAAAAGCATTTTGACCTTTCAACAAAAAAAACTTGTTGTAAACATTGTCTTTTTCGGTTAAATTTTGCTGTTTGTACGCCAAAAATACGCCACACGATTAAGCCCGGCTCTTACCCGGTCCACGAAATCAAACGTAAAATTTGCATGACACCCCCAAAACCCACGGCTCCCTTTTTAATGGGCCTCTTTGCGACAATCCTTGATGCACACCTGCTATCGTAGGAATGACCCAGTCCGGTCGCTACAACGGGGCCCCCGAAAACGAAGACGGCGGGATTCGAACCCGGCTCTCCCGATCACACGGCCCAGTGGTCTTGCCTTCCGTGCCGTGGGCTCCGCAGAGTCGTAGCCTTGCGATGTCAAAACACGACGCTCAGCAGAAATTTTATTTCAAACACCTAAACACGACATTTTCACATTGACTTTCGCGACAAAAGTGGTGAGTTACACCTTACCAACCTGATCAGCCCTGTTTGAGATCAACTGTATGAAACCGTGTGACTCACTGTCCAGCATTCATCCTCTTTGAGGATACGTCAAAACAACAGCAGCAAGCTTCGCAGCATGTCTGTATCACAACTGGGATCGACCACGGAGGATACGACCACAGGAGAGGATATCGTAAATGACGACATACATTTCAGAGGATAATACAGATCTGGGTGTTCATGCAATAGCTACGCATATTCACGTTTCACACTTAAGTAAAGAAGCGAACAGCCTGATACGCGATGAACGTTTGGTATCAGGCAAGCGATCCGACTGGCTGTCAACCATAGCACTAGCACCCTACCAGAGCACCCTGCTAATGAACACTTCTTTCATGAAAGATCTTGAAACATTTTGGCGACTCATAAAACGCTCGCCGGCAATGACAGAACACAATAGCTTTAAAGCTTCCGAAATTGGCCAGCGAAAGACCCTGTCTAAGACACAACCCTTTGAGGATAAGAATAAAACTCTGCAGTCATGCACTTACACACCATGGGAGGAACCACGCAATAAACACGTAAAAGAAGATGAAACTGGCTAGGTACGATCAGGCAGTAAACACTTGCAGACGATAATAGCATCGAGAAAACAACAGCTACCAGGTAAATAAGCTACATCGCTGGCGTAAGAAAAGCCTTCACCCTTGAAATTCCAGCAAATATACCGCAGATGTGGTGGTACGCACCCGCTTTTCACACACCCGCCTCTTGTGAGATGGAATAGCAGCCGTTCAATGTGCCGACCATCTGTATTTTTACGTTTTACCACCCGCATTAATTATTTATTAAGCAGCTTCAGCTCAGTCACCCTGTTCTCTTAAGTCTATTTTCAGCCAGCACCAAATCCGTCTGCCTGCTCGACCGACGTCCGTTTGACATGAACTGCTAATTGCCCTGGACGACGCGCCGCTGCAGCGTTGGCGTCTTACGAACGCGACACCACAGCGCGACTCTAGACTCGAGTCGCCGGCTCGCGGTCCCGAGATTGCGGAAGACCTCGCTCGGATGCACGTCGCGGATAGGGCCCGCCAAACTCGGCCTGAGGCCTCGCCCGGAGGCACGCCGCGGACGAGGCCCGACAAACTCGGCCTGAGGCCTCGCCCGGAGGTCCCATCCCGAAAGAGGCCCGCCTTTACCGTCGCCAGCTGACACTTACAGGACAATGCGCGTCCTGTCCGGGCATCAACCGCTCAAAGCCGGGGAAAAAAGGTCACCCGGCGGGGGACGAGCCGCGGAGAGGCCTCGTCAGAGAGGCTCAGAGACGCTCTGGAGCGCCGGCTCGGCCGCCGCGAACGTGGGTTGTTGGGGGACGCGGGATCGATGTCTGCGAGAATGGTCGAGGCTTGACTTTGTCAAGCGCGGGAGCGGCAGGACTTACCGGCGCAAGAGAGTCCTTACTGTCGACTTACGGCCACCAGGATAGTCGGACGGAGTTGAATGGAGCACACACAGGGAGCGCCGGCGGGTAAGAATGGCTGGGTGAGCGGTCAGCTCCCGTTTTCATTGAAAACCTTGGTTAACGACTGACACACAATCCCATTTTTTTAGTAAAGTCCGCCATATTGCGTCACCTACCCAAGCACAAGTCTAGAGGGAGAAAAGCTCGACGCTTTCGATGATTTGACACCTGGCCGCCGCTCTCCTCCCCTCTTGGATTCACCAGTGACTTTTGGTGAGGATGTCGCGCCAGCGACTCCCGGGCGTCCGACTGAGCCTCGCGGTCGAGTCCCGACAAGGGCGTGACGGGAGCAGAGTGTCCGGCCGTGTCAATTCAGCGGGACCGAGGGGGAGGCCACTCTATACCAGTGAGACACTCGGTTCAGCACGGTCGCCGAGCCGACTGCAGCGCGGCAACGGCCACAGTGGCGGCGTCCGCCCGCCCACAGTGGCTGGCTGACGGCTGGCTGCCTGACCTGGTTGGCTGACCTGGCTGACGGCTGGCTGGCTGACGACACGGTGTGCCGGTCACAGCTGGAGAGGCGCGCCGCGCAGCTCGGCCGCTGGCCGCCCGGGCCCGGACAGGGGCGCAGCGCTGCTGCTGGGACCCCCTCGTCTGCCGCGGACCTGCCGGCCGGCCGGCCGACGGCGGCGAGTGCCGCTCCGGACGGACGTGACGCTGCTGCTGCCGAGCTGCCGACGGCCGGTTGCCGGCAGCGCGGGCGGCAGCTGCGGCTCTAGACGGGCGTGACGGGATTGTCGGTGCCGAACTGCGTGCTCACCACTGTCTCTTGGTACATGCTGACGGCGTCGCAGGCAGCCGACGTGACGCACACCTCGCGGATGATGCACGTGTGGTTGGTGGTCATGGTGCAGAGCCGTATGTTCGATGCCGTGCTGCGGCAGGACAGAGCGGAGCGTTACCAGCCCGGCCGGGCCGCGCGACGCGCGAGGCGCGGACCGGACCCACGCGCCCGGCGGGCGGCCGGGGCGCACCGAACGGCTCGGAGGAAACAGCCGACTTTGAGCAGGAGACGGCCTCGGTTCAAAGACGCGTTGTGACATGGTTTGTAATGGTGTTGATTGCGAAACTCCGGGAACTTGAGGAGGTACTGGTTTAGAACTTAAGGTTGTACAGCGGTCCGACGTGCGGCACGCCGATGTGGACCTTAGTCTTATGTAAGACGTGGCTGGGAGGTTTCCGTCAAAGTTGGGAGCGGGCGAGTGCGGCATCGACGGTTATTTACCAAACCATTCGGAACGGTGTAGTCCAGAATAGTCAAACCACAAACGCCGTCCAGCTGCCTAACCATTCCCCGAAACCTTACTTCACTGGTTTGTACTGCCCTATACCATAACGCCACGGATTTCTGTCATCCGGTTACGCGCGCCCGACCTCTGAACAAACGGTTGTTCTTGTGCAAGGCCCAGGATCCCAGATGGACCATCCACAAACTACAGATAATAAAGTTCCGGTTAATGTGCTGATGAGTTGATGCAATTTCTTCCCGGGTAAGGCGCGTATCTTGTGTCTGCAATATACAGCACGAAGGTTTCTCCACATATCCACACATCCACGGTAATCATGAAAGGAACTCGAGCGAACCTGCTGAGGAGTGCTTGGGATCGGCAGGGTTAATATGCATATATATATATATATATATATATATATATATATAAGGAGGCGAACTTGTCAGCGAATACTGATCGCAACGAATTGAGCTATAAGAGTATGCAGTGTCTATGTCCCAAACGTTGTCGTGTTACGCACCAGCACGTGATATTCAAGATCGCTCTCGTAACGGTCATACTGAGCATTATCTTGGCGGCTGCTGGCGTCGCCATACATCGGACAGTGGTGAATTGGCCAATGGTGATGCAAATGGTACATGCATCTACGCCACGTATGCAGTACACCTTCGGCTTGCATTCTCTGTTTTTGCCGAGACCTGACATCAATTTCTAAAAACACTCCCAAACCAGCAGATCCACTGCTTTTGCTTGATTACGCGTGACTAGCAGCCCACATCAATCCACACTTTTGCAAATGGTGTTATTCTTGTGTCGTGTTGCTGTGCTCAAGATAAGGACCAGTTTCTATCCGTGTTCTTCAGTTTTTGCAAGGAAAGTTACGTTTGCCATGTGAATCGAATGGAGATGCCGTCTCAGCGATGTTGTTAGTTCTGCTTTCAGAAGCATCCGCTCTGCATAAAACTCGTTTTGCTGTCGAAATACGCGTTAAGCTAGGCCATTAGCCATTGCGGGAAGAAATTAGCGATGTTTGGGACGTAAGTATGTCAAATGGGGACACTGTTCCGGAGGAGCGGTTTGGGAAGGATCAGCATCTCAGAGCACGCCAGCCCGTAGTAATAGCCCGTTGCTGATTATAAACGGCTCCTGCTCTCCTGAGGACATTTACTGATTAGGTTCTTTACAGAACACGGATCAACGGCCGTTGTTGGAATGCATTTTCACTAAGCCGCTTGATACGATTAATTCTGGTCTTAATTCTATTTTCTTGACATCCATTTACAACGGCAGCATTTCCGAAATAAATGAAACGCCATTTGCTCGGAATAACATCTCAGAGCAAATCGATTTCTCTGTTGAGCGGCATGGCATGATACGCACTATAGCACACAAAGCAGCTTACACCAGCACGCGCCCATCTACATCCAGCCCTCCTATTGATCCCCCTGCAAAGATCGGCCGGGGTCTAGCCGCGCGCGGAAGGTCAAGAGGTCAGAACCCGTTTCTGCAGTTACCCTTTCCGGCGAACGGCACGTTTCAGCCTGCTGTAGCTCCAGGTACCAGCGTTTAGCATCGCCCGTTCAGCGAAGGGGTGGCTCGTGACCGCGCCTCGGTACGTACCTGAAGGCGGCCGAGCCGGATCGAACCGAGCCCCACCAGACGAGACCGCAGCGACCGAGCACGCCGCGCCTCGGTACGTACCTGAAGGCGGCCGAGCCGGACCGAACCGAGCCCCACCAGACGAGACCGCAGCGACCGAGCACGCTCTCCAGCAGCCGGTGGCAGCAGTAGCGCAGCTCGGCGCTGTGGAAGCTGTAGATGAAGGGGTTGATGGCGGCCGAGCTGAGCGCCAGCAGCGCTAGCCAGCCGCGGGCGGTGGCGCTGCCGTAGAACCAGTCGCTCTGCGCCACCACACAAAGACAGAGCGGGCTCCAGCAGAGTAGAAACACGCCGACTGTGAGCAGCAGCGTCTGGCCGCAGCGCGCCGGGCTACCACCGCCGCCGCCGCGGCCCAGCGAGACCTCCACCGTCTGGATGGCCTTGGCGTGCGTGCGCGCCACGCAGTAGACGTACAGGTAGCAGGAGACGAAGACGCCGGCGGCCGGCAGGAAGAGCACGCCGGTGATGACGCTGGCAGCGGTGCGGTCGAGCAGGTCGACCGGCGCGTGTGAACCGCCCCCGGCGTCCGCCCACGGGTGCAAGCCCAGCAGCGCCAGACCCGCCAGCAGGCCGTACGCCCAGGAGAAGGCGGCGAAGCGAGACACGCACCGGCGGGTCACCAGGTTGTTGTAGCGCAGCGGCTGTGCCAGCGACGTGCAGCGGTCGACGGCGATGGCGACCGTGGTGAGCACGGAGACGGCGCTGAACGCCACCAGCAGGCAGTAGGGCAGCAGGCGGAGCCGCGTGGCGCCGGCCGCCGAGCCGCCCGACAGCTCGAGCAGCAACGTCACCGGCAGCACCACGCCGATGAGGCCGTCGGCCGCGCTCAGCGTCAGCAGGAAGCAGTTGCTGGCCGTCTGCACACGGTAGAACTTGACGACGGAGGACACGACCAGCAGATTGGTGAGCACGATCAGCACGGAGAGCAGCAGGCCGGCCAGCAGGTAGAGGATGAATGTGAGTGGTACCGGCTCGGGCGCCACCGCTGGCTCGGTGACGCCCCAGACTCCCAGGTCCTCGGTCGTCATGCCGGTCGAGTCGTCAGAGCTGTCCTTCATGGTCAGCCGGTCGACGCGCAGGTGTCTGGGGACACAGCGGGAGAGGTCATGGGCTGGGTCCGGGTTCGGATCTCGATCGTCATGGTCCGCTTTCTGGGGGCGTTATAGGGAAGTTGGGGTTATTCGGACTCCGAATCAGGACACGCCGCCTGCAGCCATGCCTTGCCAACAATCGTGTGCATCTCAGCAAAGCGCGCAGGTGTAAAAGGGAAGAAATGAACACTGGCGGAGGCTGGTGCGATGATATAGAACAGGGAACAATGTTTGTGCAAATGGCTACAAACTGGATGGTTGCGAAAGTGAAGGCCAGACAGGTTGTCTGGATGACCAAATAATTACGTGCATGGCAGAGTGATGTCCCTGCACTGTGCACCATTCCACGCTCTACGAAACGTGCCCTCCGCTTTGAGTGAGGGGTAAAAGGAGGTTTAAAAAGTGGGGAGGGGCACACAAACATTCCGAGCCCGGGGGAATGTGCTTCAAACATCTTTATAGCAGCAGCGTTACAGGACCGCTGCAGAGATTATACAGAGAAAAAGCCCTCGCCGTTTCTCATCACTCGGGATCATTATCAGGTTTGGGCATTTTAGAAGACATGGTGTGCGCAAAATAAGAGACGACGGAACTAATTTCAGCAGTGGGCGCTCTCTTAAACGCCCATTTACAGTTAACGCAACAAGAGAAAGCGTTTCATCCGAAACTGCCAGTCCCGACAACATTAATGAAAATTATGCCGAGTCGTAGTTAGGTGCCATGCTGTTAGGGGCCTGTTGCTAAGCGGTTGTTAGGCGCCTGTTGTTAAGCGGAAGCGCTATCCGGACCTGTTAGATGCGTGGGACCGTGGCCGACAATTCTCAGCCTCTGGCAATACGTCTCATCCTCAGGCCTCCTCTGCATGGCCAAAATACAAAGGGTCCGTATAAATCCATAATGCATTGCGGCATGGGAGTGTTCGCAAAACACAACTAAATGAGCTGAACTGTCAAATACCAGTTGTCTGCTAGATGCCATGCTGACTCAGTAATGCGTGGTCTTTGCGATTGTTTCTGTACCAGGGAGTCCGTGGTATCGAGAACTACAATCATCACCAGATTAGAAGCGTGATCAAATTACAAAATCCTGCCGCTCGTTATTTTGAATAACGATACTCACGCAATAGGATGCAACGTCTATGTCACATTACTAAAAGTGCTATGCTCACAGCAATAGTGAGGTGCGATAAAAATCAACACAAAACCAAAATAAGTAAGTGGAGATCTCTTCTTGCCCCTTTAACATTCACGTGCCCACAGCAGTCCACACGTGCGATCATTCTCAGCCGAGAACGGACGTGCGCTGCCTGCGCCGGCCGCTCGTTGTGGGAGGGGGGGGGGGAGGGGCTGATCTGAGGGGCCGAGGGGCATTAGAAATTGACTGCTTGCAATTCTTAAACTTTCTAGCTACCCAAATAAGCACTTCCTTCCTAAGTCTATCCATGCGCCTACTGTATTTTTAAGCTATGGAGAGCTGATAGAAAGTTGTTGATATTGATAATTATATTGTAAAGATGTCAGTCCTAAAAGGTTTTGATACTGCTTTTTAGGACCATGTTGATTTTGTAAAAAATATTGGTGGTGTGTGGGCACGTTGATGTCGTTGGACGGTAGGTGAGTTAAACGTGTGCTGGTGAGTAGCAACAGACCTGGGCACTGAATGCATTGCAAGGAAAGATTATGTGTGATATGGTAGAGAGATTTGGCTGTAACCCACAAGCACCATCCCTCGTTCAGTCAT